CTGATAGTCTATGGGGTGCCTTGAATGATTGACTTAGTCCAATATTTCATGTGATAGTCCCTCTTTATACTAGTCAATCAAGCCTCTTTCATTTCAGCCACATCCTGAGCTACAAGTAAGCCAGTTGCATATGCTTGCATAGAACGCTTATCCTGTCAGAGGTGATGGATTACCTAATGAACAGGATCACTAAACGTAGTCCTCAGGAGTATCACAAAATTGTATAGCTATCCAAGTCCAAATCGTTGTGCTATATTTGAAGGGGGACTGCCCATCTTGCAACTTCCTCAATTATCAGATCAATTATAACCCTCTACAAGAACAATCAATGGGAATCTTTAGGTCTTAGCTCACATTGAGCAAGGAAGGTAGTGCATCTGTCCAGATTCCTGTCTTATGTTTCAAACAGGTCAGCAGACATTTGGCATCAATCATCAATAGTTACAGAGTCTAGGATGGAGATTGGTAAGGGACCACAAGTTATGGTAGCCTACCTGTTGGGCTAGCTGATCTGTGCTAACTAATCCATTGGGATTGACACTTGGCTCTTGTACTGGAGCAAGGCATTGGTGGCTTAATCCACAGTCTGTGGCATTGCAAGAGAGCCTATATCATTGTCTCTAGGCAAAGGCTCACATCCCAGAGTTTTGGGAGGAGTGAATGGGCAAATATAGCCATCAGGCTTTACACAGGCACAGCTGTAAATCTTCAGTATTTCATCCCTTACTCAGACATTGGCTTTCCAGGCAGAACACAAAGTTAGTCTCCTTATTGCAGACAGGAGTCAAGCCATATACATAGAGATGTGTTCCTTGCAGTACAGAGAAATCAACCCCTTTATATAGGTGTATACTCCAGTGTTTACATTCTCCTGCCTTTCCTAGTCCATGGAAATTGGCCTTTAGTTTGATGGCCTTGGAAGGCCTTTACTGAGCTAACAGTGCTCTCTAGCATGACAGCTCCTGGTTCCTGCCTTACCAGCCTTATTTCTTACAGCAGATATGGGCATTTGCTTCTTGAAAAGTCCTTTTACTGTTAATAACTGGAATCTCACTCATAATGAGTAATCTAGCCAATGTTTAGTGGCATTTCACTGGCAACAATAGGGTAACTTGCATGTGTACAATGCCCCCAGTACGGCGGTCAAAGGTCCAAGGATATTTGTTAACCTTTCTTAATATTTCCCATTTCCAGTGCTGGGAGAATAACAGAAAGGCCAGTTTTCAATCTCCGTGGCACTCATGGGCAACCCAGTGAAAGAATGGAAACTAAATGGCAATAGAAATAAGATAATACACCAAAAAACAACAAGAGTATCAGAAGAACCTCTGATTCATATCACAACTGAATCATATCACCATTTTGTCCAATATGTTGTTTTCAGTACTGAAACCTGCAAGGGCACAAATGTAATTTGCCTTCCCCTATCATTTTTTTCCTCTTACTGGCTGTAAAAAATACTTTCAAAACAATTATATGCCTTCAGTTTCTAGCTTGAAAGCATATCTTTACTTAATTGACAGAAGCAGATATTTATGGCTTAATATTGTAGTGTTTTCATTCCTGTAAGTATATAATGTAACAATTCAGATACCTCCTTTTTGTAATCACATCCAATGTCAATTTGTTTTTATGACATACAGATTTGGGCCCAAAAGTTCTATTAAGAGGAGACAACATAATTTACAAGTTGGCTGTTAAAAGCTGCTGCACATATAGATATACATGCCCCTTTCGCAAATATGGTGGAATAATTGTTTGACTGAACTCATACTTGTGTTCATTCTTCCACTCCTGAATGTAATTTTTTTCTCAAATAATATTTCAGCTGTTCTTTGAAAACCTGTTACTATTAGAACATAGCATGCATCAAGCTTTCACTCACAAATGTTAAGCTGATCACAGTAGGAAATCTTTTTGAACTAGAATTTTAACAGCATGTTGTATGGAATAGCAAAACAATTTGCTATTGTAGGTAATTTGCCTATCACGAAGTTGATGCCATGTTGGATATAGCTTGTCAGAAAAGGCCTACTTACCAAAAGACATATAGATGAAACTGCCCCATATAATCTCCAGGATGCTCTCTATTGACCCAGCTTATCTTGGACCCGATCTCATGTGATTACGGTGATCTTACATGGGAATGCTGAAAGCTCATGAGAATGCTGAATCTTGCACAAGAACTTTTGTACTATTTATGACAACTGAATGAGATTGTTGAAATTTCATAAGGTTTGGTGATCGTCCATGTTTTGGGACATTTTATGTAAGTATCTGGGCATTGTGTAAAATTGTCTGATAGTGCTTGAGATCTAACCCATAGATTGCCAGTTCCTGATCTAACCATACCCTCACTCAGATATGCCAAAATTGGACTCCATTGGCAGACTCTCATAGCTCTGACATGGCTTTAACACCAATGAAAAAAGAACCTTATGTGAGCATTACTCTTTTACAGTATTTCTGTAGAAGTCACTTTTGAATACTCTGTCTTCTTAACTAACTCATATTATCAATTATACTTATCAAGCAAAACAAAATGTTTGAAGTTCATCTATTTGGAAATATCAGTTGCTCTGTAACACTCCAAGTTGGTCTGTTTTCCACTTTCTCAGAATGGATCATCTAGCATTTGCTATCAGTTTGCTCAAACAACCACTGCTATAGGGCCACTGCCACCAACAGCTTGGTGGGAAGGATCTCCAAAAGAGAGAAGATTCCTGCTGTTGCTTGAAAGAGGAGGGAGGGAGGG